GCCTGGCTCCTTTAAATGGAAATTATCTCGGAGGGAGGGGAGGAGAGAGAGAGAAACATCCATGATGAGAGAGATTCATGGATGGGCTGCCTCCCGCACGCCCTCCACTGGGGATCGAGCCGAACCGGGCCTGTGCCCTGAGCGGGAAGGGAGCTGTGACCTCCTGGTTCGTAGGTCTACGGGCAGCCACTGAGCCACGCCCACCCCGGGCCACGCCCACCACTGAGCACGCCGGGAGGGCAGCCTTGCCCCTTATATTCTCAGCGCTGGACGGCTACTGTGGAGGGAGACCCTGAAACGTGCTGGAACCGACCCAACTGGCAGCGGCCGGGGGTTTGGTTGGGAGGAAACTTCTAGAAATATGGCACACCCCAGCCGGGCTGCGGGTATTCTCCATGCGGGAAAACGGCACCTCCATCCGTCCAGGAACTCGGGAGCCACCCTTGCCGTCCACCACGAAGCCCATCCATCTGCTGCTGAAGCCCGTGTCACATGTCCCTTCGTCGCCCATCACCTACACCAAGCACGTCACACTCAGGCTAACAGGGCCAGATAAAAAGCGTTAAGTGTCTGTGACCGCAAAAACACAAAAGCTTCCGCTTTCATAGCAGCGTAGGTTTATTTCGATGGAGACATGCTGAATACAAAGGGCTGAAGTGAGTCGTTAACATAAAATAATAGAACATTTTAATAAAAATCAATATTTTTTCTTGAACATTAACTTACCAGACACTGAATAACTGCACCAATTAATAAGCGTAACACAAATAAACCTATTTCTCTTGTTCTCCAAAAGCGAAATATTTCCTGTTGCGCACACCAAACAAGTCAGTCCAAGACTAATGGCATGGCCATTGGCTGCTAAATGGTGCGCCTGCGCATAAGGCACGTAAGGGAAATGAATGCAACACGATTATAGTAATCAGTGATTAGCGAGTGTTGTAGTTCGTTATTATGTATAACAGGATATTGTAAAAATTAAGTTATGACATTTTTATTAAAATGTTTCTTACCTACTGTTATATTGGCTGGGCCACAAAAATATTCGTTGTGGGCCGCATGCGGCCCCGCAGGCCACGAGTTTGACATGCTTGGTATGACTGGCCTTTATCAGCCATCTCATCTACCTGCCATCCCTCATCCATGTTACCTCCTTCCAGTCTGTTCTCCACTCGAGCCAGAGCAGTGATCCTAAAACACATAGCTGATTGTCACTCTTCTACCCAAAAGAGGGGAGAGGGGAGCCAATATAATACCTTACCTGCCATTGGCAGCCAGAACCTTTAAAAATGTATTGGAGTTGGGATGGTTGTGGCCATTCGGGGATGGGATGCCCTGGATCCTTGGTTCTGTCCTGAACTAATAGTTCTGTCTGGGGCAGGTCTCTGGTCCCCGGTGTCAGTTTCCTTGTTTGACGTGAAGTGAAATAGGTGGATACTTGCCATTTCTGAAGTGAATGGGAAAGCTTTGTTCAAACACAGGTTTCAAGGTTGTACAAATGGGGTCTTGGGATTCGAGTCAATATAGTCAGTTACTGTACTGACTGTGAACTGGGGAGACAGGAGGGAACACACGCCTGGGAGGGGTGAATTTCCAAACCGCACACAGGCCACTCTGAGGACTCCATGGCAAGCCACTTACACTGGAGTGTGACGGCCCCTGAGGGATGTGAGGTCGGGCAAAGGTTGTTAACGTGGGTTTAGAGCAGCGGTTCTCAACCTGTGGGTCGCGACCCCTTTGGCGGTCGAACGACCCTTTCACAGGGGTCGCCCAAGACCATCCTGCATATCAGATATTTACGTTAAGATTCATAACAGTAGCAACATGACAGTTAGGAAGTAGCAACGAAAATAATTTTATGGTTGGGTCACGACATGAGGAACTGTATTTAAAGGGCCAGAAGGTTGAGGACCACTGGTTTAGAGGCACTGGCGACTCCAATCATGTTCACAAAGTAGCTACCGTTACTGAAAAGAGTTAGAAAAACCTTCCTTTCCACTTAGCTGAGCCCTTTCTCCTACTAATGAAAAATGAGGCTGCCTTCAGCTGCCAGCGCTGTGCTAGTCTTAAAGCAGAGCGGAAGGTGAGAGGTCTTGCTGCTTGTTCCGAATGCCCGGCTGCACCATTTCGTGCATAAATCATGAAAAGCGTTGGTATTGCCCTAACGGGTTTGGCTCAGTGGATAGAGCATCGGCCTTCGGACTGAAGGGACCCAGGTTCGATTCCGGTCAAGCGCATGTTCCTTGGTTGCAGGTACATCCCCAGTGGGGGGTGTGCAGGAGGCAGCTGATGGAGGTTTTTCATTGATGTTTCTAACTCTCTATCCTTCTCCCTTCCTCTCTGTAAAAAAATCAGTAAAATATATACAAAAAAGAAAAGCATTGGTATTTGAGTGGTGAGAGTAGCCCACTCCTCTTTCCATTTGCTATTCTTCACTTTAAAAAGCTAAAACATAAAAGAAATCGTTTGAAAACGGGTGCATATTGTCTATTTTAAGTAAAGTGTACAAGCTGGCCTTGCGTGTGCCGATTACCAATTCCGAACCCCGCATCTGGGCTCAGTGGGCTGGATAGCACTGGGCGAGTGCAATGCTGTGTCCTCGGCAACTTCCCGCACCCGCACCTCCCCACACGGCCGCTGAGAACACTGCTCACAGGCTGGCCTCTGGACAGTCGGCACACTTAGCCCCTGTCCCACGGCTACTTCTCAGGAGCCCCCAGGGAGCGGACTTTGATGTAAGAAGTTTTTCTTTATCTCAACAGATTAAAGAACAAAAGATTGTCGTGGATGAACTTTCTAACCTGAAGAAGAACAGGGTGAGTTATTAAAGTGATTCTGAATACTGAATAGTATGTGGGAGGGTTTGATTTATCTTATTACCTATATACTGAAGTTATAAGAATTATTTTTTTAAG